GAATTAGGCTATTTTTCGGATTCGACTCGAATTCCACTTCGGATACTTCGATTCGCTCATCTCTAGCCATTACCTCTAGACAACTGAAGTCTTTATTGTGGTCATGTAGGAAGTGTCGAGGTACGCTATGTTTATCGCATCCCTCTTTGATAAGTCTCCTATGTTCCCCTATGCGTTTAAGTACGGGGAATGTGGTGCGGCCTACATATAACAATTTACAGGGACAGGTTAATACATAGACAACATGATCCGTGGTACAAGTAATGAAGTGTCAGCTATGATAGACCATTTCCCTAGGGTCAGTGATATGGAATCGGCCGTGCGTTATAAATTGACATGTAAGGCAGCCTTTTTTCTTACATTTAAAGATGACTGTTCTGCTGTCAAGGTTCGAGCAAATGTCTCCTTTCTTCTTAGTAGTCAAGGCTAACTTGCTAGGGGCTAGAATATTTTTTAGTGTGCATGCCCTCCTAAAAGTCAGGGGATGGGGGAGGACTGGGGCTAATCTAGGATCGAGGTGAAGTATATGCCAGTGTTTGTGCATGACCTTAGTTATATTACGCTGTGCTATATTGTAACCCATAATGAACCTCACTGTGTTGTGTTGGTCCTGGGTCCTAGACTTAACGGTCTTGTTTGCCCCACTATACTTCATAAATGCTTCATTGATTAGAGAAGGAAGGTAACCTTTCTCTAGGAACTTAGCTGACAGCATGGCTCCCTGTTCCTGATAATCCTTCAATTTGGTTAAATGCCTCCTGAGTCTATGAAATTGACCAATGGGGATTTTGTTTTTCTACGCGGGGTGATGGCAACTTGAATACTGTAGATATGAGTTGCCCCCCTGTATGTTTTATGTGATTGGGGGTGCTGATTAGACCCTCCTCTGCTGATAACACTAGATCTAAAAACACAATATTGTGTGGGCAAAAGACATGGCTAAAGGACAACCCAAACATATTGGCATTGCAGTGTTCCACAAAGGATAGAAATGTGTCTAGATCACCATCTCAGATGAGCAGAATATCGTCAATGTATCTACTGAAAAAGACAATATGTTTGGCAAAAGGATTATTTGACCATATGTGTCGATTTTCCCAGAGACCCATCATTAGGTTGGCATAACATGGGGCGAAATTGGCTCCCATAGCTGTACCGTTGGTCTGTAAGTAAAATTGGTCTAAAAGCGTGAAATAGTTGTGGCAAAGACAGAAATCTGTACAATCTACTACAAACCATGTGTTAGGAATGGACTGGCCAGCAATGGTGGGACTCACCTGCCTTTTGATCTGCAGTACCAGGGCTGGCCAGCGGGTGCTCCCAGCAATCAGAGACTCAACCTTTCAGCCAGCTAACACCTGGAACTGATGATGCTGGGGTATTTAAGGGATGGCCAGACCCACAGACTCTGCCTTGGTGTTGTGTTTGTCCTGGGCCCTGTATCTGTCCTGCATCCTGTTTCTGTCCCTCTGCCTGACCCTCTGTACTACGCTGCTTGTTACCTGTTTTGATCTCTGGCTTGTGACCCTGACCATCCCTCTGCCTGACCCTCTGTACTACGCTGCTTGCTACCTGCTGAACCTGGCCTGTGACCCCGACCATTCTCTGCTTGCTCCCCCCGTACCTACCTGCCCAATTGATATTGACCCGGCCTGCCTGACGACGCTTGCTTGTATGTACTGTTATCTGTGGGTGGTTTGGTTTGGTTTGTTTGCACTGTATTATGTTTAGTATTGCACTGCGTTTATGTTTGTATGGTTAGTGTTAATAAATTGTATTGTTTATCACATATCTGAAGTCTGCGTTTCCCTGCATCAGTCACACACCTCTGGTCATACCTGGGAGCCCTGACATTACACCAAGGCCAATCCTGACCAGAAGTGGCTGCACAGGGAAGCCATCTTGGCTTGTTGATGAGAAGGATGGATCTTGATGAGGTTGAATATTTATATCTGCTAGTGTTTGATGACAGGGAGTATGTTATCAAACTCTGAAGGAGTATACCCGGGATGAACTGCTAGAATGTATACGGCTCGCTCATGTTCTAGTAGATCAGGGCACAGAGTTCTCTGAGGTGCAGCCTTTGATTGAGGTTTGTGCTGAGTTGGTTTCATCTGGTTCCCCCGAATGCAGGGATGAATTTTTGCCACCATTTAGTGCAGACCAGGTAGAGTCCCTGGTGTGGTTATTAGAGGATGATGTGGGTTACTTTCTGGAGCGTTATTCCACATGTTCACCACAGACACTAAGAGATTGTATAAACGCAGTGCAGTCATTGACCAGACAGGCTTTGTGTAAGCTCAGCTTTGTTCAACCCATACTGCAGACATGGACAGATTTGTTGCACCCAGCCTCAGTCAGCTTACAAAGACCCAGTCCTGCTTCTAATCTATTTCCTCAAAACTCTATTCCTGCATTCCCAACAGCTCCTCCTGCCCTGCTATCTACCGCATGTCAGTACCCTGTTCCCACTCGCTGCACCTATCCTGCCTTTAACCCTGTAAAAGAGCCCTCTGTAGCAACCGCTCCCTCTCCTGTTCCATCCTCCAGTTCTTCTCTGTCTCCAGCTGCTCCATTCGTTTGCAGACCTGCGTTTACTTGCAGTGCTCCAGTAGTTAAAACCAGAAAAAAGCGAAAATTCTTTCCAACCAATACCATCCTGCCAGTATCCAAACCGGTGAGCCTGCCTTCCGTGGTTCAGCCTGAAGCCTCTACTCAGCCTGAAGCCTCTACTCAGCCTGAAGCCTCTACTCAGCCTGATGCCTACTACTCAGCCTGATGCCTCTACTCAGCCTGATGCCTCTACTCAGCCTGATGCCTCTACTCAGCCTGATGCCTCTACTCAGCCTGAAGCCTCTACTCAGCCTGATGCCTTTACTCAGCCTGATGCCTCTCTTCAGCCTGATGCCTCTCTTCAGCCTGATGCCTTTACTCAGCCTGATGCCTCTCTGCAGCCTGATGCCTCTCTTCAGCCTGATGCCTCTACTCGGCCTGAAGCCTCTACTCGGCCTGAAGCCTCTACTCGGCCTGATGCCTCTACTCGGCCTGAAGCCTCTACTCGGCCTGATGCCTCTACTCGGCCTGAAGCCTCTACTCGGCCTGATGCCTCTACTCGGCCTGATGCCTCTACTCGGCCTGAAGCCTCTACTCGGCCTGATGCCTCTACTCGGCCTGAAGCCTCTACTCGGCCTGAAGCCTCTACTCAGCCGGACGCCGGCATTCAGCCTGATGCCTCTACCCAGCATGATGAACTGATCCAGCCTGACGATCCTACTAGGCCAGTTGACTCGATGCCCGCTGTTGATCCAGATGATCCGGTACCTGATCCGGTGCCCGCTGTCGAGCCAAATGACCTGATGCCTGGTGACCCAGTGCCCGCTGTCATACCTGGTGACCCGATGCCCGCTGTCGAGCCAGACAATCCGGTACCTGATGACCCGGTGCTCACTGTCGTGCCTGTTGACTCGGAGCCCACTGCCTTGCCAGATGACGCGGTGCCCGCTGTCGAGCCAAATGACCTGATGCCTGGTGACCCAGTGCCCGCTGTCCAGCCAGACGATCCAATGTCTGACCCAGTGCCCGCGGTCATACCAGTTGACTCGGAGCCCACTGCCTTGCCAGATGACGCGGTGCCCGCTGTCGAGCCAAATGACCTGATGCCTGGTGACCCGATGCCCGCTGTCCAGCCAGACGATCCAATGTCTGACCCAGTGCCAGCGGTCATCCCAGTTGACTCGGAGCCCACGGTTGTGCCTGGTGACTCGGTGCCCGCCGCCCCGCCTGGGGGCCTGAGACCTGTCGTTCCGCCTGGGGGTCCGGCGCCCGCCACTCCGCCTGAGGGTCCGAGACCTGTCGCTCCGCCTGGGGGTCCGGCGCCCGCCGCTCCGCCTGAGGGCCCGAGACCTGTCGCTCCGCCTGGGGTCCGTCGGCGCCCGCCGCTCCGCTTGAGGGCCCGAGACCTGTCGCTCCCCCTGGGGGTCCGGCGCCCGCCGCTCCGCCTGAGGGCCCGAGACCTGTCGCTCCTCCTGGGGGTCCGGCGCCCGCCGCTCCGCCTGAGGGCCCCGAGACCTGTCGCTCCGCCTGGGGGTCCGGCGCCCGCCGCTCCGCCTGAGGGCCCGAGACCTGTCGCTCCGCCTGGGGGTCCGGCGCCCGCCGCTCCGCCTGAGGGCCCGAGACCTGTCGCTCCACCTGGGGGTCCGGCGCCCGCCGCTCCGCTTGAGTTCCCGAGACCTGTCGCTCCTCCTGGGGGTCCGGCGCCCGCCGCTCCGCCTGAGGCCCGAGACCTGTCGCTCCTCCTGGGGGTCCGGCGCCCGCCGCTCCGCCTGAGGGCCCGAGACCTGTCGCTCCGCCTGGGGGTCCGGCGCCCGCCGCTCCGCCTGAGGGCCCGAGACCTGTCGCTCCGCCTGGGGGTCCGGCGCCCGCCGCTCCGCCTGAGGGCCCGAGACCTGTCGCTCCACCTGGGGGTCGGCGCCCGCCGCTCCGCTTGAGGGCCCGAGACCTGTCGCTCCTCCTGGGGGTCCGGCGCCCGCCGCGCCGCCTGAGGGCCCGAGACCTGTCGCTCCACCTGGGGGTCCGGCGCCCGCCGCTCCGCTTGAGTTCCCGAGACCTGTCGCTCCTCCTGGGGTCCGGCGCCCGCCGCTCCGCCTGAGGGCCCGAGACCTGTCGCTCCTCCTGGGGGTCCGGCGCCCGCCGCTCCGCCTGAGGGCCCGAGACCTGGCGCTCCGCCTGGGGGTCCGGCGCCCCGCCGCTCCGCCTGAGGGCCCGAGACCTGTCGCTCCGCCTGGGGGTCCGGCGCCCGCCGCTCCGCCTGAGGGCCCGAGACCTGTCGCTCCACCTGGGGGTCCGGCGCCCGCCGCTCCGCTTGAGGGCCCGAGACCTGTCGCTCCTCCTGGGGGTCCGGCGCCCGCCGCTCCGCCTGAGGGCCCGAGACCTGTCGCTCCGCCTGGGGGTCCGGCGCCCGCCGCTCCGCCTGAGGGCCCGAGACCTGTCGCTCCATCTGGGGGTCCGGCGCCCGCCGCTCCGCCTGAGGGCCCGAGGGCCCGAGACCTGTCGCTCCTCCTGGGGGTCCGGCGCCCGCCGCTCCGCCTGAGGGCCCGAGACCTGTCGCTCCGCCTGGGGGTCCGGCGCCCGCCGCTCCGCCTGAGGGCCCGAGACCTGTCGCTCCATCTGGGGGTCCGGCGCCCGCCGCTCCGCCTGAGGGCCCGAGACCTGTCGCTCCGCCTGGGGGTCCGGCGCCCGTCGCCCCGCCTGGGGGCACGATGCCTGTCGCCCCGCCTGGGGGCACGATGCCTGTCGCCCCACCTGGGGGCACGATGCCTGTCGCCCCGCCTGGGGGCCCGATGCCTGTCGCCCCTCCTGGGGGCCCGGCGCCCGCGCCCCACCTGGGGGCCCGACGCCGGTCGCCCCGCCCGGGGGCCCGGTGCCTGCTGCTCCGCCCGGGGGCCCGGTGCCTGCTGCTCCGCCCGGGGGCCCGATGCATGTCGCCCCGCCCGGGGGCCCGGTGCCTGCTGCCCCACCCGGGGGCCCGATGCCTGCTGCCCCGCCCGGGGGCCCGATGCCTATCGCCCGCCCGGGGGCCCGATGCCTGTCGCCCCGCCCGGGGGCCCGATGCCTGTCGCCCCGCCCGGGGGTCCGGTGCCTGTCGCCCCGCCCGGGGGCCCGGTGCCTGCTGCTCCGCCCGGGGGCCCGGTGCCTGCTGCTCCGCCCGGGTACCCGGTGCCTGCTGCCCCGCCCGGGGGCCCGGTCGCCCCACCCGGGGGCCCGGTGCCTGCTGCTCCGCCCGGGGGCCCGATGCCTGCTGCCCCGCCCGGGGGCCCGGTCGCCCCGCCCGGGGGCCCGGTGCCTGCTGCTCCGCCCGGGGGCCCGGTGCCTGCTGCTCCGCCCGGGGGCCCGATGCCTGCTGCTCCGCCCGGGGGCCCGGTGCCTGCTGCTCCGCCCGGGGGCCCGGTGCCTGCTGCTCCGCCTGGTGGCCCGCTGCCTGCTGCTTCGCCTGGTAATCCGATGTGCCTCTGCCCGGAGTCCTGCCCGATGTGCCTCTGCCCGGAGTCCTGCCCGATGTGCCTCTGCCCGATGTGCCTCTGCCCGGAGTCCTGCCCGATGTGCCTCTGCCTGATGTGCCTCTGCCCGGTGTGCCTCTGCCCGGTGTGCCTCTGCTCGATGTGCCTCTGCCCGGAGTCCAGCCCGGTGTGCCTCTGCCCGGAGTCCAGCCCGGTGTGCCGCTGCCCGGAGTCCTGCCCGGTGTGCCAGTCTTTGATATCCCGCCAGTTACCAGACCGGGCGGTGGAACATTTTGCCCAGCTAGGACTGTTTGGAGCGTCCTGAGGCCGCTCCTTGGGGGGGGGTACTGTTAGGAATGGACTGGCCAGCAATGGTGGGACTCACCTGCCTTTTGATCTGCAGTACCAGGGCTGGCCAGCGGGTGCTCCCAGCAATCAGAGACTCAACCTTTCAGCCAGCTAACACCTGGAACTGATGATGCTGGGGTATTTAAGGGATGGCCAGACCCACAGACTCTGCCTTGGTGTTGTGTTTGTCCTGGGCCCTGTATCTGTCCTGCATCCTGTTTCTGTCCCTCTGCCTGACCCTCTGTACTACGCTGCTTGTTACCTGTTTTGATCTCTGGCTTGTGACCCTGACCATCCCTCTGCCTGACCCTCTGTACTACGCTGCTTGCTACCTGCTGAACCTGGCCTGTGACCCCGACCATTCTCTGCTTGCTCACCCCGTACCTACCTGCCCAATTGATATTGACCCGGCCTGCCTGACGACGCTTGCTTGTATGTACTGTTATCTGTGGGTGGTTTGGTTTGGTTTGTTTGCACTGTATTATGTTTAGTATTGCACTGCGTTTATGTTTGTATGGTTAGTGTTAATAAATTGTATTGTTTATCACATATCTGAAGTCTGCGTTTCCCTGCATCAGTCACACACCTCTGGTCATACTGGGAGCCCTGACACCATGCCTGGGTGGAATTCATCCAGGAATCTAGAGACAAAAAGTGTTGAAGGGCAGCTAGGCCTACTTTATGGGGGATATATGTGTAAAGGGAAGACGCATCTAGTGAAGCCCAATTATAACCCAAGTTCCATGTGTACTGTTTCAAAGTGTCCATAATGTGGCTAGAGTCCCTTATAAAGGAGGGTAATTGGCTGACCAGAGTCTGAAGAAAGTAGTCTATGTATTTGGGTAGGCCACTTGTAAAACTGTTGGTACTGGCCACAATAGGTTATCCTGGAGGGTTGGTGGTAGATTTATGGACCTTCAGGAGGTAGTAAAAATATGGAGTACTACAGATGAAAGGGAGTAAGAAAGATTTTTATTTTTTATTTATAACTCCATCCCTGAAGCTAGGACAAGCCATCTGCTCCATGTTTCCCCCCCCATGTCTCTGTTGCCGGCCCTTATGCTGGGTCCTTCCCCTTATAAAATGGCCGATAATCTTTTTACTCCTGGACTTGACAAGGTGCATACGAGCAAAATACGTTATCCAGGTTACCTGCCTCCATCTTGGCTTGCGTTCCAGCATTGGATTCTCCCTCCCGCTTCCTCTGTAGACCACGGTGATGTCATTCTGGGATGCCGAGGACACTTGGTCCATCACTAGTGACAGGAGAACCCCTTGTCTCATACCATCCATAAGAGAGTGGACCAGGCGTTCCTTGCATTCCTTGTGATTCATACCAACTGGTATTACAATAAAGGTACACCTCCCAGGGAGGTTCAACTGTAGCCACTCTCACAGCGCTGTTCCTTTTGTCAAGCTATTGGTTCACTATATGTGCTAACACAGCAGCAGTGGGCTGTTCAGGCAATTTGTACTATTTTTCCTCATATGGATGGTTCTTTACTGCTCTTTGATCCATTGTCTGTTAATGATTCATACTCTGAATGGTCTAGGCTTGTCAGTGGTGTACCCCAAGGTTCAATGTTGGGACTCTTACTTTTTAATATATTTATAAACAATATAGGGTCTGGGGTTAAAAATACCATTTCAGTCTTTGCAGATGACACCAAGCTGTGCAGCTCATAACGTCCTTACAGGATGTCTCCAACTTACAAGCTGACCTCAATGCACTGTTTAATTAAGCAACTATGTGGCAAATGAGGTTTAATGTTGATAAATGTAAGGTTATGCACTTGGGGGGCTAAGAATATGCATGCATCATACATACTAGGGGGAGTACAATATTTGAGAAATTCTGGTAGAACACAAGCTTAATAATGGCATGCAATGCCAAGCTGTGGTTTCTCAAAATTCTCTCATATTAACAGAGGTATATACTCCAGAGAGAGAGATATCATATTACCCCGGTACAAATCATTAGTAAGACCTCATCTGGAATATGCAGCTCCGTTTTGGGCACCAATTCACAGAAAGAACATTGGGGAACTGGAGAAAGTACAGAGAAGGGCAACCAAACTGATACGAAGCATGGAGGAGCTCAGCTATGAGGAAAGATCAGAGGAACTGAATTTATTCTCTCTTTTTCATTTAAATATTTATTGATTTTTCAGATAAACAATTTGTAGAAACATACTCTTTAAAACGTTAACACATTTTCCATACATTTATAATTTCATTTCCCCCCCAACTCTATATACCATCCATCTCCCCTCCCCCACCTCCCCAATCCAACCCCTAGCCCCCTCTGCTCTGCATTTACCTAATCCTTTCTGGAGATCCCATTCCCCATCAAAGAAGAAGAAAGTGTAACCATGTTATTCTGTGTTAGTCCCCCATAAACTCTTTTTAAATTCCTCCCATTTGTTCCATCTTATAAGATATCTCTTCATCTTATTTTCATTCATATGGTAAAGTTCCTCTAATTTACATATTTGATCCACCCTGTCAACCCAATCTTTTATTTTTGGCACCTCCTGTCTCCTCCAGAACTTGGGTATCAAAGCCTTTGCTGCATTTAAATAGTACAATACATCAGATTTTTTATATTTTTTGACTGAAAGCTTGGTACTATGAAAAAGGCAAGTCTCTGGGTCTAATAGAATATCAACCTCTGTAATTTTCTGAATCACGCTCACTATTTTCTCCCAATACTTTTGTATTCTAGGACACTCCCACCATATGTGATACATAGTGCCTCTACCTCCACATCCCCGCCAACACAAAGGTGAATTATCTCCACTCAATCTATGTGCCACACTCGGTGTAATATATCATCTTGCCATACATTTATAATTCATTTCTGCCTCCTGCATATTTATATTTTCATGAATTAATCTATACATTTTCCTCTGTTTTTCCACATCTATTATTACTCCTATATGCCTTTCCCATTTTTTCTATATATGGAGGCCTTCTATCTGTGTTTATTTCAGTGAGAATCTTATATATTTTAGAAGTTCCGTGTTTCCCATCTCCCCGTGTTTCTAATAAATGCTCAAAGGGGTTCCAATCCTCTCTTGTTCTTAAAAGCTTTGGGAGCTTCCCTACAAAGTGTTTCAATTGAAAATGACGCCACTCATCCATTCTCGTGAAAATTTCTCCCTTTTTTTTCAATTCCTTAAGTGAACCTATTTCCTCCCCCACCATTATATCTAGAGATGAGCGAATTATTCAAAAATTCGATTCGGCCGATTCGCCGAATTTGCGGGAGAAATTCGATTCGATGCGAATTTATTCGCCGCGAATTTAACTTATTAAAAGGGTTTCTAGGCTTCAGAGAGCCTTTATATTAGTGCAGAACACTGTACCTTTAATTTAAATGCCCTTGGAGTCTGCTGGGGAAGAGAAATAATACTGTCAGTCAGTATGACATGCAGATGAGTGCCGTCGATCTTAGAATCACCGCACACTTCACTCATTTGGGCAGTCACGGGGCACGATGAAGAAGAAGAAGAAGAATGAAAAGAAGAATGAAAAGAAGAAGAATGAAAAGAAGAAGAAGAAGAATGAAAAGAAGAATGAAAAGAAGAAGAAGAAGAATGAAAAGAAGAAGAAGAATGAAAAGAAGAGAAGAATGAAAAGAAGAATGAGAAGAATGAAAAGAAGAAGAAGAAGAATGAAAAGAAGAATGAGAAGAAGAATGAAAAGAAGAATGAAAAGAAGAAGAAGAAGAATGAAAAGAAGAAGAAGAAGAATGAAAAGAAGAAGAAGAAGAAGAATGAAAAGAAGAATGAAAAGAAGAAGAAGAAGAAGAATGAAAAGAAGAAGAAGAAGAATGAAAAGAAGAAGAAGAAGAATGAAAAGAAGAATGAAAAGAAGAAGAAGAAGAATGAAAAGAAGAAGAAGAATGAAAAGAAGAAGAATGAAAAGAAGAATGAGAAGAAGAATGAGAAGAAGAATGAAAAGAAGAATGAAAAGAAGAATGAAAAGAAGAAGAAGAATGAAAAGAAGAAGAAGAAGAATGAAAAGAAGAAGGAGAATGAAAAGAAGAAGAAGAAGAATGAAAAGAAGAATGAAAAGAAAAAGAAGCAGAATGAAAAGAAGAAGAAGAAGAATGAAAAGAAGAAGAAGAAGAAGAATGAAAAGAAGAAGAAGAAGAAGAAGAATGAAAAGAAGAATGAAAAGAAGAAGAATGAAAAGAAGAAGAAGAAGAATGAAAAGAAGAAGAATGAAAAGAAGAAGAAGAAGAATGAAAAGAAGAATGAAAAGAAGAAGAAGAAGAAGAATGAAAAGAAGAAGAAGAAGAATGAAAAGAAGAATGAAAAGAAGAAGAAGAAGAATGAAAAGAAGAAGAAGAAGAATGAAAAGAAGAAGAATGAAAAGAAGAATGAAAAGAAGAAGAAGAAGAAGAATGAAAAGAAGAATGAAAAGAAGAAGAAGAAGAATGAAA